TATATATATATATATAAACATACATGCATATATACACAAAAATATATTTTCAGAATCGAAATTGAATGAACACTGAAAGTTTAATGAACTATCACACTGCGTATAAGTTATTTTCTTTACTTAACATAGTGAATTTTCAGTAAAATCTTGTGCCATACGTGATATGATGAAATTATAAGTACACACTTTGCTTAAAGTTTGTATAAAGTATAAGACACACGACCAGTTGCATTGTTCATAAATTAAATATCTTCATGATTAACAGTTAACTTCATATCGATTACATTAAAAAATAAACAAAGTATTAATTGATTTACGTTAAGAGTTTGTAAAAAAAACCAAAAAAGTCAACGAATATAAGCTATACAAAATACTGTCAGTCCTAAAATAACAAAAATACAAATTGCCAGATAATAACTACAACAAAATTAGTGACAGTGATAGTTGGCTGCTTATGGTATAAGGCAATATATTAAGTAATATGTAACTAAAGATAAGTTTGTGTGAAGAAGTGCTTTAGTTGATGGTTAAGATGAAGGTTTAAAACAGTGACTGAATTTAGTTAGTAAAACTTGATAGAAAATTGACATTTAGATTAAAGTATTTGGTTGTCCGTAATATCAGAGTATACTAACACTAACGAAATAGTTTCGTTCGGTAAAACACATAGTCTCAAAGAACATATCTAAATCCACATATTATTGCAATAACATATTAAATCTGCAATATTATATTTATATGCAAAAGCAAAGTATGTAATTCAGATCAAACATATGAAAATCCCTCGTTAAACATTGGGGAAATATTTTCAAATATAAAAGATAATATAGGTTAGAATTTTGAAATAAATAACAGCAATGGAGTAATTGTTTTTGCAATATATAATGTATGACAGGGAAGTATAATGATTTATAAAGTGTTTATTGTACATATTGGGCTTTACTCTATATTATATAGATTGTTAGTGTTGGAATGTAAATATTGCTAAATACCAGAATATCAAATTTGCTTGCAACCTATGGTGTTTCTTGTTTTAAATGCATAGACATATATTTGCCCCTTCGAATACTACAACCACCTCTGGCGCTTGTTTGGATTAGTCCGTCGGTCGCCTGTCTAGTGAGATTGACTGTAGACAGTGTACTGAGTGTAGTGTCAGACAGCAAATACCATTACTATCTGGAAGAAGTAAGTAGGCTAAAGTAAATTGGTTTTTGCGATTTTAAATTTTGTTTCAGATATAATGAAAATTTTAGGATCAAATCAATATATATTATACCTTACAAACGTATCACACGTGATGTATTAGTCATTTTAATTCAATATATGTTTTTTAATGTAAATTATCACTACATCATGTTTAAAGTTCTCAACAACTTGTTGGCTCCGACTCGAGTCCGAATAGCCTTTCATTAGTATTATTAATAATATTATTATTACTATTATTCAACGTTAGTACTGATTTTAATTTACTAAGTTTTCGTCTTACCTATTCTTTCAGTATACGGAGTTGTTTACTATCTAGTATCTGCTTATTAATCTTGATTATAGTTATACTTATAAGTTATAGTATTATTATTATTAACCTAAATGTTTAATGTTGGTTAGTGAAAATGGGAAGTCCAAAGGCAATGCTAAGTAAATCACCATTTCTACCAATTCCAGTGCTTCACTATTTACTAGTACTAACTTAGGGCTAAGGAAATCGGAGGTTAACTACTTGGTTCAGTACAGTTAAGCCTAATTGTCGTTAGTTTTAAGTCACTATTCAGACAGTTTACATAGGTATATGCTAAATTTTCGTCATAAAATTAAGTACACTTTTACAGTCCTCAAAAGTATACTTGTTATCACTGATACTGTGTACATACTGTCACCTAGTTTTTATGTTTATCCATGCTAAATCACTAATTTATTCTATTTTAGTATAAATTATGATTCATTTAGTTTGTAATGCATGGTTATATTAATATTATAATATTTATAGTAGTAGTTGCACAAGAAGTGGTCAACTCCATTTCACTTAGGTTTGTATTGTAGTTAGTTATTATGCTTAAATTAAAATTCATTTATGTATTTGAAAAATTTACACATACAAATATTATGTATATCAGCTTAGAACTTAAAAGAAGTAAGTGTATGAATCTAGGACTAAATTCATTCACCCAACCTGCCCATATTTTGAGGTATTATTGAGATTACCACTGAAAATATTAATAACAAGAGTAACCAGGTGGTGGTTAAGTACATTATGATAACCATAGATTTTAATTTTGTGATATGTGAATTAATACATTAAAAACTAGTCCATCTGTGTTGTAAAATTGGCTTCATTAATTTATCAAGATATTTTAGTTATATTTTTAAAAAGACTGAGGATATTATGTGCTACTTTGTCTTCTATATTATTGGAATTCATTGTTAGAGATGATTTGGAATAGCACATTGAAGGTTGGAATTTGATTTAACACACTCAATTTATCATTAGAAGCAAGAGTGTATGGAATGTTTTGATAGAGCTGTTTGCTTATGAACCCCTTTTGATGTGTATCTAGATATGTATGTAGTTAGCTTACTACTTTGGATCACAAGTTATTATTTTAATTGATTTCAGCTAGCTAGATTTATTGCAGTTCCTAAACTTAAATGTCAGTCATTTATTTTTCATTTGTTTTTTTCTGGCTGAAGACTGTTCAGTTGGCATTGTATGTTTTGACTTTCAGAAACTGTTGAGAGGGTATCACACAATAAGTTAACCAGAAGAGTTAAAAAGTGGGTAAAAAAACTGGCTTTGTAGATGAAAATGATACAGAAGGATTGATAGTTTTGCTGAATAGACTAATTTGTGGAAAATGATTTACAGTATTGAAAAAGTAATGTGATGTATTTAGGGTGTATAGGATATTAAAGCTTAGTTCAAGGCTGGTTATTGTGCAAGATTTTTTTAAGTAAAATTACAACCTTGTAGAGTGATTTGCTACAATGATCAGTTGTGGGGAATTCATATTGCTTTGTGCCTGGAATAGCAAGATGTGTCTGAGGGATTAGAAGCTTACTGATAGATTCTGCCCTTTGCACTATTCAGTGTTTTTCACACTCTTCATTCTGTTGCTAGAAAAACACCCCACATAGGTTTCTAGGGAACCCACAAGTTCCTGAAAATTAGGAACTGTAGAAACCTAGCACAAACACATAGGCAATTAAAAATACATTCCTCTCAAATCAAAACTATATATACAAATATACATAGCACTTTAATTAACATATCCTTAGCCTTAGATGCAAAACCTGGTATATACCATTCCCAACAAAATTGATCTGGCAATGACATTCTTCCTGCATTTTGTCTCTTAGACAAGTTGTTTTTCAAAAATTCCACATACATAATAATGTTGTGTGTGTGTGTAGTTTGAATTTCTCTTGAGATTTTATTGGATAAGTTATGAGTGTGAGGGGTTATATTTAGGGTAGACCCATTTCTTTGTTGATCAAACTTGATGGGCTGAATAGTTTTTTTGTTACATAATAGTATTTTCATATGTTCTTATGTTATTTCATGATTTTGTGCTATTTTATGCAAAACTATTAAGGGTTAGAGAAACCTATTTCCTGTGTGAATGAAAGAAAAATTAATTTTGAGTTTTTGCTTAGAAATTCTTGTGAGATTATTAGCAGTTTCCATCTAGTAGTGTTAGTTGTGTTGTTATTGTTAAAACTAGAGAGAAATAGAAGATCTGAGTTTTAAAACATTTGACTACATTATCAAATGGTATTACAAAATTATTTATAATACTTTTAAGTTGTAAGCTAGGATTAGTTCTTCTCCAACAAGCATTTTTTATGAAGTGATAAGAATTTTAAAGTTTAAGTCAGTTATTATTATTCATGACAAAACAAAAGTAGTTATAAAATAAAAATCCAAAATTGTGAATTATTGAAATTTGTGTTGCATCAATATTTTTTTACTTTTGATTACTCTTATTTTTTATGTAAAATAGTGGAATTTCGTAAACAGATAAATACATATAACCTGAAAGCAAGAGTTTACAAAAATATTACCAATTTCAAAATACAGAAAGTGCACATTAATTTATTATTCTAATATAAATGTTATAAGTAAATTTTATGAATTGTATGGAGGACTCAGGAGAGGATTCTCAAGCTTTATATGTATATATGGGCCGAATTCTTTACAGTAGATGTCTGTGACTTGTTGATGATAAATTTCAATAATAAATGGACAGCACACAAACCACTTGTTTAAAATAAAATATTCAAAACAAGTCAAATGTTTGTTACACAGTTAATCACCACAGTTGTATCCAGAGCTTTAAATAATTGTCTCTTATCATCAAGAGTCCACACAGGCTACTTCAGTTACTTTAGAACCCAATTGACAAGACAAATTATTTTTCTCTACTCTGTTATTACAGTGCAATCAGTGATAAATTCAGTTACATTACCCTGTAGGTTACCATAGCTGTATCCAGAGCTTTAATTAATTCTCTTTTATGTCAAAAATTCACACAGGCTGGGTCAGTTACTTTAGAACTCAATTTTGTAGAGAAATTATTCTTTTCTGTTTCTTTATTACAATTCAAACTGTGATTATTATACTTTAAAAGTTGCCACTATACACACTTTATGGCTGACTCCAGATCACTCAGTCTAACTTCACTTTTACTTTCACTAACTTGGTTGCATATATATATATAGCCTGACTGTGACCTAGAACTTTCTGCAAATTACAATACATTATAATGTAACAATACTCACTTAAAGGAATCAGAAAAATTCATAAGGTTCAAGTATCTTGACAACAATTCACAACAAATGATTCGTAAACAGTTAAGCAAGCAAACCTACAATAAATCATTACTTCTAGAAATACTAAATTTAACACTTATGCTTTATAAGTATCTCAATTATAACTCCTCATTCAGTTTAAGTGAAACAGGTAGGCATATCTAACAAGGATGTTGGGATTTAGTGTAGAGCTCAGTGATTAATTGATTATCTATGAGCATTGATTAAGAGTCATGTAATCAGATTACAGTTAAATAATTTTATGTCACTTAAATAATCAACTAATTGAAATTATTGTTTCTAGTTATTCCCACTATCCAAATAATTGAAATATATCCATTATGGTTTTTCTCTATATTTTGTATTAATTCAAAGTTCATGTTGTTCAGTCTAATTGATTTGCATCAGTGCTCATGAAATTAGTGTTTTTGATTATACCAATTTTTCATGTCTCGCATGAGAATAATTGATTATTGACCCTGTCAATTAACTGATTATTAAATTCAACTAATGGCCCATCTGTAGTTTGGTGTGCTTTTAAAATGATTATCATGCTTGAAATTGAGCTTGGTTATTTCTAATAGGAGATCTGGGTTATAATTTAACAATGGCTACTAATAAATGAAACAATATATTTGTTTCATTGAGAAACAAACATATCATACAAACACACACGTTTCTTTTTCCTTTGAAGAATTTCATTTCACAATAAGTGAGGATTAGCTTGAACATGCATTTATATTATGATCATTTAGAGTTTTATTTCATGATTGAAATAACTTGCTTTAAAAAAGTATATAAAGTAGAAATTTGTGTTAAGTATTGTATCACACACAAAGAATCTACCAAGACTATTCTATTTTGTACTTTTATAGATCTGTTAAGTTTCTTAAATATTTTTTTTTATATAGAATGCACAGAAATGCATACTTGTAAAGATGCTATTTTAGATTTTATAATTAATCAGAGAGCAAACATTCTAATGTATAGGAATACACATGGCTCTCACATTTGATATTGTAAAATACAGTAATATAGGATGAGTTGTATATTTTTTCTTATCATTTCTCTTGTAAATTAATTTTTATATTTTCAACTTTGTGTTAACTTTTCTCCTTTTTTCCCTTACAGGTAAAAACAGAAATCATCACAGAAACCTTCCCTCCATGTAGGGTCTTGTTAGCTTTGTCATCAGTACATACATATGTAAAATAGATCTACTATACATATTTTAGTGATTTATGTCAATGAAACCATGCACATTTTCAGAGCTGTTGTGATTCTGTGGATTTCGGGTGTTCTGGGTAGGTTTGTTATGTGAATTATACTGATGATTATTAATGCAAGAATAATGTCTATTACATTTCAATAGATCTGTCTCAACTACTAGCAACCAGTGTTAAATTGAAATTACAGTTATAGATATTTATTTTTGTTATTTTAATAAGTCATGAAATTAGTTTATTTCACTGGGTCCTAAAATAATCACCATTAACAAGTAACTCCCTTTGAACACCTACATCATAATATTAGATGACTTGGATAGAGATAAACTTGACTGTCATTGTTCCAGTCATAACTAGTTACCATTGGTCTGACAAGATGTGCAACTTTTTTTTTTATAGGGTAAGATATTACCGAATATTATTTTTGTTGCTTCAAAACAAAGAATTTAAAAACTTACTTATCAGCAACCACCAATCCTTTTTTTTTTATTTGAGTATAACCTGTTATCCCTGACTGTTCATTGTTCAAATACATATTTATTAGCTACTAAAACACTTGATCTCTGATGTTTTGCTTTCAAATTTGGTGATTCTAAGTGTTGGGAATATCAGTAACAATATTTTCTGTGTTTCACTCCATTTTATACACTTATTGGTGTTGACTTTACATTTGCCAGTAAATTGTATATTCAAAACTTTCACTAACATATATTATTAATATTGATGTATAGATAGCTTCTCAAGCTAATAAATCATAAACTTCTTAAATTTTAGAAAATGTTTTGTTTTGGTACAGTCCAAGCAAAAAGAACTGCTCCATTGGACACAATCAGAAGCATGATTTGGATGACATCTATAAATTTTGGCTATGAGCACATTCCAAATAATTTTGTATTTGTAACATTTTGCAGTTATGTCAGTTTTGGGATAATCTATAAATATTGTGTCCTAGGTTGTGGGCTATTTAATCTTGTGTTCTTATCATAGCCATAGCTGCCAATATGGACCTCCCTTTGATACATAATTGTACATGTGCAGAGACAAAGCTTAAGAGTTAACAAAATAGTTATTAGTGTCAGAGTAAGGGCTGAGTGTGTTATAAACATGGATTGTTAGCTTGGTGAACTTGGAAGAACAAGGTTCAACTAATAATCATTATCTACTAGAATCATCAAAAGTTTTAGTGGCCTATTTCATTGTACTGTAAAATCATTATTCTTCCAACACAGAATATTACCTCTGTTCACTTAAATAGATATTCTTGTTCAGTGCTGCTGCTATATGCAAATACATTTTTCGCATACCATGAGCCTTGAGCTCCAATGTACCTTACAATCAACTGGTTCAACTGTGTATCACATGTAAATCATCATGCGAAAACCATCCACCAATAAGAGTGACATACTCTCTTGTATAGTATAGCATAAAATCTTAGCTAATAATCCATATTTAATCATATATATGTTTTAAATTCTTAATTATATAAGGCAATATTAAAAAAATCCTGAATTTCCCCTAGTTTGACACGTGACACATTCTCTCTAGGCATCTCCTCTTCTCTGTTTTATCCACCACCCCTCCAATAAGTATGAAATTCAATGTAAATTACTCACTGTAAAATTGTCATTGCTCAGACAAACCATAATTTTTATAGCCTTCAGGTTTTTTAGTTACAGAACTATCAAATAGAAATTCAGACCCCTTTTGCCACACCCACCTGTCACATCCTCTCTTTCAGGATTTGTTAATAGTTCTCTTTTATGTTTAATCTGTCAAATGATGTATTATATAACGTTTTCTGAATGTCAAATTTACTCTTAGTACAAGCTTCATTTCCACGGGAAAGA